CTGTGAGGTATACCTACGAGCAGTCCTGCAGAACACCTCACCTCATCAGTGGGCATAACATTACCCGGATAACTGTTATGACATTGTATTTTGAAAGCATAGAGAACACATTGGTGGAATCAATAAACCAACACCTGGCAGCCTCTAGAATGGTACATGAGGTCCGCAGTAGGAAGTCTCATCATCACAGTCATCTAGCATGTTCACAGGTCTTAGAGTGTGGATTTAAGACTAAATATACCTGGTCAGGCAACACTTGCCACAGAATGGGATCCAAATATGTGATAAAGGCCCCTGCAAAGGAAAAATAAAAATTAATGGAGTACTTAACACCACATACAAACAGTTACTGATGATATCCCCCAATGGAAATGTGCAGCCAAGGGACATGGTAAGGTAACAGATGTGATGAGAAGAAAACATGAAAAAGGCAACAATCATCAGGAGAAAGGAAGAAAATGCCAAGTGAATGAACTGGTGAATTCAACCCAGAAGGGTAATGTGAAAAAGGTTACAGGAGAGGTGAGGATTTCACAGAAGAAACAAACAGACTTGGGAACCACGAAAGGGAGCAGTATGCGTCATATACCCTCAGAGAGCCCTGAATGGGCAAAGGAGAGGAAATAAATTGTGAGAAAAAGGGGAGATGAAATGAAGTAGAGGATCAGACATACTGAAACAACTGCCAGAACCCATGGATTGACCCCCAAGGACCTCCAACAGTGGGCAAGTTGAAGGAATGTGGCCCCACCAACCCTGAACATATTACGGTGGTCAGAGTAAGACAAATATGGGAAAATGTAATCAAATTATCGAGGTCTGATCCCCATTAAGTGAGAAGCACCACCAAACTCTGTGAGTACAAATAAGGGAAGTTGGAATGACAATAATCAAAAGCATGATCATCCACAGTATGTGAAGGTTGAGGCAAAACAACATCCGAATGCAAATAACCCTTCCCCAAAACATCTCACATGAACCCCAATATCCACGGGGAGGAAGAAACCCTAAATAATGACCCAATGGCAGGGGGTTGAAAATAAGAAACAAGAGATAAGTACAGAATGTAACAAACCTAAATAATAAATCTGCCAAAGGGGAAAAGGGGTCTTGGCAAGTCCCCTAAAACAACACATAACTAAGAGGCATATTCAGGAGGGGGGAAAAAGGCTGTCCAAATCCAAAACTAAAAGATCACTGAAAACCTTGTGAAGACAATCATCAGCGTATCCTGATTGTTCCATGAAATTGGTCAACTTCCCACAGACCAGAGCCATTACTTCGTGGGACAAAAATCAGTAATTTCACTGCTGCAGTAAGAGCAGTCGTAGTCATGACCATCCAAAATTATGATTGCATGACTCTCAAAATAAAAAACATAAAATAAATTAACTGTAGTACAACGAAGAAAAAACAATGTGGATAGTTAATGAAACTACGAATGAGAAACACGTCTACTCAGTAGGACTACCAACCATGAAGTGATTAACGTGTGCATGATAACAGAGGACACTAGTTACAATAGGGGTAGTGATGCACTCCTATTGGTGGAGGGTTGCTGCATGATTATTTGCATCTTAGCATGCAGTAATACGTGGGAATAACAAGGCTAGTGAGAAGTAACAATTTGAGCTGATAAAGGGTAGTACAAGTCGATAAAGCTTTTTATAATCGGAGGTAAGATATCTTATCAGAAGAAGTATTTTTATTCTTATAAAAATCACCTTGCATCAACAAAGGCTTCTTGTCTGACAGAAAATCTTTATAAAAGTATTTTATTACAAAAATCTGACTTTTTGTGTACAACAGACTTGTAACATTTGCTAAAAGCTTGCTAAATTTCATGAAGATACTCTTAGTACACTCTAAGTTATAACTTAAGTGTTTCATGGTTACATGCTGGTTACAAAGTAAGACAAACTGACTCTGCCTGTATGCACAGAGTTAAAGAGTAAATATTTTGACAAAATAAAACTGAAACAGTGTGTATAATAATTATTTAATTCTTACTGAACATGTTAGTCCATGTTACAATTTCAACATTCAGACTGTTTACAAAATACGTCAAAAAATTAATTTCATATTTCAATATTACGCTGTTATGGCACTTATCAAAATAAACTAGATTAATAAATAAATGTGATTTGAAAATCACTATATATCAAAATAATAATTTTGTGAACTTTCTTGATATTCCAAGCAGTTATAGTTTTTATGCAGTTTTCAAGTGTAATTAATATTCAGAACATGCACTTGAATATTCAAAGTAACAGAAATACAGTAAGTGAAATCTTACTCTACTATCTAGTCTTTTAAGTGATGAAAAATCTAGTCTTTTAGACTATCAAGGATGTTTTGTCTTCCTATGTTCCTCAACAAATAAAAGACTTAAAACTAAGTTTAGCTATGAATCTAGAAATCTTCATTAACCATTTTCTTAAACTCCTGTAAAAGTTGAAATCCTTACCAATTCAGGTTTCAATTTCTATATACAGTCCAGCCCCATTTATCCGGTCAGCTGTGGGTCTAAGCAATTAATGGCCGCATAACAGGGTAGCCATATTACTGGGTGTCAATGTATGGGGTCCACACTGGGATCAGACTGAGGCCTCAAAGACACAGTACATACCCCTACAACTCACCCATAATACTGACCTTTCTATGTTCCTGTTTGATACAAAATGTTGTAATAACATCTTTACATACCTGTTTTTGCATTTCTTGTCTAAAAAATAAAATTCTATACTGTATTTTTGATTAACAGATAAGTGTAAAATTTAGGATGACAATGAGCTTTGTGACTTTTCCTTGCACCACACAGTATCAGAGGCTAAGGCATGGCACTGTTGTTTATGTGCACATGTGGTGACGCATAGTGGTAATGATACTCAAATCATGAAACAACTTTCTGCCATTTACGTCAATAGAACAGAGCCAATTAATTTGGCTGAGAAAGCAGAGCTCTATTTATTGCAAAATGGTGAGGAAACTTTAAATGAATGTGCAAATTTTCCCCTTTGAACAAATGATTTGGTCACAAGAAGACCAAAGAGATACCAAACTAAAAGTGTTACAAATGACAAAGTTTAAAGGAGTATGAAAACATACTGTTTGTTTGATCATTTATGCATGATTGTGTGACCATCAGTGCAGCATGAGGTGTGAAGCATCAGGTAGGATTAGCATGCCATTAATAGAGAATATCAATTTCGATGACGAGGAACCCACTTTGAGACTAATAATGGCTGGAGACGGCTTAAATGGGTAATGAAGAAAAACTTTAATATAAGTTTAACATGACAGCAAATGTACAACATTTCGACAAGGTTTTGTCATCATCAGGTTGTCGAAACGTTGTACATTTGCTGTCATGTTAAACTTATATTAAAGTTTTTCTTCATTACCCATTTAAGCCGTCTCCAGCCATTATTAATTATGTATTTGAACAACTGTATGTTTTGAAATTAAAAACTACAAAG